CCTAAAATCAGCACTGAAGATAAAGTAAATTTGCCAAGTTTTTTTTTATATTTCTTTGTAAATTTCTGAAATTTGCCTTTAAGTTGTCAATTCTTTTGATTGAAATTTTATTCTTAAATTCCATACAAATATCTAAAAACTAATGATCTCTGAAAATTACTCATTTATTACTCAATATAATACTTCTACAGGGTGTGGCAGAAATACCACCCACATAATGGTAAGACATTAGTGGCCATGGTTTCTTCATCTAGTTAATGTCCACATAATGTCTTATGTGGAAAGTATTTCTGCATCATCAATGCAGTAATTCTGTGCAAGTAACTTATGCAGGTTGGTCAAAAAGTAATCTTGCACATTTTTAAAAAATATTTGGTAACCAAGGGTTTTGTAAAAGTCACCAAGTGCAAATACAGCCTTTCCATAAGAATTCACTAATCTCCTGTAAATGTTTGCAGTACCTTTTTTTTCTTTCTTTCAAAAACTGAAATTCTATGGCAGCAATTTTTGCTTTCTACATGTATCTGTAGGGGTAGCCATTTTGAAAGATTGTTAGTGTCAGGAAAAAGTGATGTTAACTCCATGTTCCCCTGGTCTTCTGAAGTCTATAACAAAAAAAAAACCCTGGCAATTCTGACTGCTAGTTTTAAAATTAAAGCAGGCATTACTTTTTGTAAATATTATTTCATATTATCTGCAAAATATATATCTTACAAATGCATTGGATAATTGGGCATCTTTGTCTCAAGAAGAGTTTATATATATATATATATATATATATATATATATATATATAGGCAGAAATCCCTCATTTATACACATTTCATTAAAGATGACAAACAAGGTACTGTGATTAAGCTTTTTATTTCATTTTTCTTTTGTTTGAACAAGTTTTCTTTTTTGGACACTGTGTAGAAACTGTCCAAATGTTCTGTAATTCTGAGTGCTTTTGGCTATAGTGATTATCAAGGATGATTTTATTTTTACTTTATAACTGGATGTATCAGTTGTGTGTATGTATCTCAACTCCATTCAAAAAATACAAGCATAATAACCCCATCCATGTGTTAAAAAAAAAAAAAAATTTACATGGCCACGATAAATGTGTTTGGGGAAACAAAACCTCACGATAACTCTAGAAAAGAAAACACTTGTTCGAATGCAAGAAAAATTAAATAAAAAGCTTAATTGCAGTATCTTGTCTGTCATCTTTAATGAAACACACACACACACGCACATATATATATTTAAAATTTAAAACAGCTAGCTTTATCGTCAAATGTGTTAACTGAAAACACAGCCACAATGTGCTGACTGTTTGAAAAATAAAACATCCTTATAACTCTAGAAACATAAGCGCAACCCATACACTCAATTAAAAAAAAAGCAAAATCCTTGTTAATGGCTAAAAACATAGCTGAAAGCATTTGGAATTACAGAACATTTAAATAGTTTCTACACACTCTGTGTCCAGGAAAGAAAACCGTTGTTTGAACATAAGAAAAATTAAATAAAAAGCTTAATAGCAGTACCTTGTCTGTCATCATTAATGAAACATATATTACTGTAAATGTTATTTTTCAGTGAGTACATGTGTTTGAGTTGCTCTCCCTGTTTTTTTTTTGTTTTTTTTATTTTTTATTTTATTAAACATTCAAATCAAGTAATAACCGGCCTAAATTGAGAGGTCTTACTTGGCTCAAAATATAGTTTTCTTGATGGAAAAAAGAGATGCAGGTTCGATTCCTGTTGGTGGCACACTTTTTCTTTAGTTGTACTTCTCAATTTAAGCCAGTTATTAACTTCACTGTTTAAGAAAATAAAATTTAAAAAAAAAAAATACAGGGGCATCAACTCTAACACGTTTATTCGCTGAAAAATAATGTTTATTTTAATAAGAAATAAATGTCCTTTCAAAAAAATTTAGTCATTTCAAAGGATTTTAAAAAATTTTTTTTTATTCAACTTTATTTTTTAATACTTTAAGTTTTATTTTATAGATACCTATTTTGAGTAGATGACCTGTAAAGTATAAATTATGTCTACCAGGCTATGTATTTCAGAGACTTAATAAGATGAATGCGCTCTCTAGCAGGGTTCAAACATATAGGAGTAGATAGGTTCGTCTATCGCCGGATTCACGCTCCTTCCCAGTCTTTTGAACAGAAGTAGAGGTTTATCCTTTGTTTACTGTTTAGGATTCAGTTTCCATTTTCTTTCTAAAGACTTTTCATTCACTTTCATTCCCATTAGTCCCTTGCATCTTAATGGCATTATCACCTTGCTTCGGTTTTGTATATATATATATATATATATATATATACACACACACACAAAATGTAGCAAATATTATGTGGACAGGTAGTATAAAAGTTGAAGTTTTTTATTACTTTTTAGTAAACATGCTTTTTGTGATTTTCAGACATTTCAAGTGATTTGGCTTATACAAGTAAATCTCATTTATAAATGCAGGACAATCTTTAGTTTTTGAAGTTGTTACTGCCAAGTTTGATCTAAGTTTTCTGTTTTGTATATACGTTAATATTTTGGATGATTGTATAGCGTCACTTGTCCCTCTGCTACATGATGCATCCAAATCAATAGCAGTAATAGAGAAAGTGAGAGGAGAGAAACATGTGGGAAAGAGAAACATGTGGGAAGAAGAAATTGGGATAAGGAAAAAGGACGAGAAGAAAGCAACAGTAACAAGCTAGAAAGAACATTGTTTTCTTTGTTTTTATATATATATATATATATATATATATATATATATATATAATCTCAACTGGAAATGAGGAGTGGTACAGACAATTAGGGATGCTGTGGTCTCAGGTTACAAACTTAGGATGAACAAAACATCACGCACTTCACAATGGAGGAATTTTTTCACGGGTGGTGGTACTTCGACAGTTTTCTGGAGAAGATCTGAAAGGTAAAGAATCAATATATAGGGTGTATCAAAAGTATTTTCGTTGTTTATAAAACTATTTACTCCGATGTGTACATCTAAAGATTATGACTTAGTTATCTCCCTTTAATTATTCTGCTATGGTCAAAAGGAGTATGTATAAAGCCCTGCAATCACTGAGCTTTTTTTTTGTGACAAGAAAAAAAACATTGGCAAACCTTGACTTTTGTGCCTGGAAAAGAGGTTTTTTCTATTGACATCGCCATTATTTTAACATTTCACTTTTGCAGTAAAATATTATGCAAAAAGGCTTTTTTTTTTTTTTTTTTTTTAAGAAGTAATCTGAGAAGAAAACATATTTCCAGGAAATCCTATGTTTATTCAAATTTTGTTTTATAATTTATTGATAGTCTTAAGGTTTGCTATATTTATGGGATAAAGTGCTCAATATCAGAGATAAAGCGTGTGTAAATATAAAAGTGAACATTGAAGTCAACACTCAGATGACAGACTGTTTCATGCTCGATGCAGTCGTCAGGCCACTTATCAAAATATGTAAACCAACTACAAGGAAATATTATTTACCATTTTATAAATAACTATGAAAAACAGTGTTTTATATATATATATATATATATATATATATATATATATATATACACACACACACACACACACAAGCATATAATTGGTGTATACGGAATGGATTCCAATAACCAACAATTACTATTCTTAAAAGAGTGCTCAATACAGAGTAGAGTTGATATAATTATTTATTTAAAAAATTATAACATAAACATGTTAAAAAACCACTACAAAAATTGCCATTTTGTTTCAATACCTCCGGTGTCTTATCAAGTGATGATGTTGAATCTGTATCATAATCCTTAAGAGATAACTTATAAAAGTTGGCCGTTTTGTCAGATTTAACATATGTCACCGGATTTATTAATATCCTAGACAATACCTTCAAGATGTTTTTGGAAGGCGTTTTTATATTTATGGAAGGTTAATCCCTTGATGATATCCATTAGGCCATTTTCGAAATGTTGAAACAAAATGGCTATTTTTTAGTAGTGATTTTTATAACATATTTATGTTATAATTTTTAAAATAAATAATATATATATATATATATATATATATATATATATATATATATATATAACCTTGTTTTTCATAGTTATTTATAAGGGGAAGTAATTTTTTTGTGATCTTGAAAATAAACATTCCTGTGGGAAGGAATGTTAAAATAATAGTGGCGTCAAGAGAAAAAAAAACTGTCCCTTGAAATGGAATTTTTTTTTTTTTTTTTTTGTGCACTAAGGTCAATGCTTGCGGAAACGTCTTTCATTGATGCAGTCTGGTTCTATGACATAAAAGAAAGATAAAGACATTAGAAGTGACGAGCGAAATTAGAACAAAAGGAAACAACAAAAATGTGTCTGGGGAGGGAGGGACAGAGAGAGAATGGATACAAATGAAAGAATTCATTCCTGTGAACGTCTTAGATTTGACTCTGAGGTGGAGAAAGTAAAGAAAAGAGGATTTAAAATATTTTTCAACAGTTTTTGGTGATGGGACTTAGGAACAAAAAAAAAATTATTAAGAAGTGGATCAGAAGAGATTGGAAAATGAAGTTTTTGTATGCAATTCATTTTTTTTTAATGTCATGTCCCTTCAGAACATAGACAAACATGGTTTTCCACAGATTCTTTTTTTTTTATTACCTGTGAATTACTATATGCCATATTAGGAACAATAGTAGAGTAGTTTCCTGTTGCCTTCTCCATCGTTTGGAATTCATAATTCTTCTTCCAGACTGGTTGTTACAGAGCCCAGTCGAAGCTGCTATTTAAACTATAGCTAGTTGTGAGAATTTTGATGGATACATGCCTTTCCCAAGAGCATTGGAGCAAAAATAAATGCAGCAGATGAGACTAGAATTCAAACTCTGTTTGCTGATTTTACTCCGTTTGCCACTGATAACTGTTACGCTACCTGCTTTTCTCATTCATAACATTGTATTTGAAAATAAGAACAGGTATTTAAGAATTGTTTTACCTCAAATACCTGGAAATGCAAATAAATGGCCATCAGTGCCTGATCAGGAAGAAATACTGAATGCAGTTATGGTAGTGGTTGTGCAAGTCAGCATTGGTGATACGTCACAACCAAGTCACCCTCATGATGACTTTGGCAAAACCTATGAAACCAATATGCTATTATTGTTAATGATATTATTATTATTATTATTATTATTTTTTTTCCCCCCATTTCCTTTGATTTCTGTTGTATACACATTTTCCATCCAGGTCCCAACCAGAGACCCAAGGTCAGAAAAAAACAAAAAAAAACTAAAATCACACACATTTTACAGAGATAATGTTCTTCATTAGGTGTGAGTACATTTTTTTTTTTTTTTTTGTATTTCTTTAAGGCATGGGTTACCAGGAATCCCTTCAATGAGTGTATGGAAGGTTTTCCAATCAATCCTACAACTGGAACTATTGATGTCCTCATGTGCCACATTTTTGAGATTTCTATTTCAAGATCCTTGTATTTTGATGGTTTTTTTGAAGATCTTCAAAGATACATCACAGTCTGTAGGGACTTCCATGTCAATAAGAAGGCATGTTCTGTTTTTATGGTCTCTGATCACAATGTCTGGGCAATTGGCTTTGATTCTTCTGTCTGTAAAGTCCCCTAAAATTGTTACAGGTCGTATCTCTGTAATGTCTAATAATAATAATATCCTCATTATCTTTATCACTATTATATAGCTTATTCTTCTCATCCTGTGAAGGTCTTTTTGCTGGGCGTCAACCTTCCCAAGATTCGTATGGCAGAATGGTCCTACCTCACTGTCTCACTGCATGTTGCTAGGAGCAGATGTGACATGCTTGGGCGATCATGTCTCTCTCTGATAATCAATCAGCCAAATGTATTTGCATGTAACAAACCTGACATGGATTCAAACTCAGCTCTTCATTTTCTCATTTTAAGCTGTTATCCATTTACCAAAATTTACAGTGTCTGACATTTGGTCACCCATCTAGTTAATGAACAAGCGCAATGTTGCTTAATTTCAGTGATCGGAGGAGATTGTTTTTTTCAGTGTGATATGTCTGTAGTAACATATAACTTATTCATCCCTACCTTTTGTTTTAAGTGTGAATAAATTTTGGCAATTTTAAGGCATAACTTTAAATTTGGCCTCAAAGCCGCTCACAGAATTTGGGAAGAGGAAAGAAAACGCTATTTGACTTTACTGCCCAAAACAAGCTTAAATATTTTAAGGTGAGTGACTTATCCCTTGAAATGAAGTCTAGGTGTGGACAACCATCAGTTGTTAATTAGAATGTTTTTAGAAGAGCTAAGATCATTGAACGCTACCATAAGTAAAACATTACCTAATAGACATTTATTTATTTTGAGGGGGTTGGAGAAAGTTTTCTGAACCCATGCCGGTAAGCTTATTAAAACTATTCCTTTTATTAATTATATATTTGACCATTTAAATGATTTTCTGTTTATTGCATATAGAGAAAAAAATATGACTCTGAGTTCCTCCCCTTGTATTTGACACCTAAGAGGACATAAATATAAAAAAACATACAGGTGATTAAAAAAACAAAAATTCTATTGATACACCCCAATATCTTTCGATACAGTATAGCACAAGGAGGAGTAGGTTCATGCCTTTGTCAAAGGCATTTAATGTGAAGTGAATGTAAGCAATCCCACCCGAAATTCAAAATCTCTTCCTCGGTTCCATTTTTCTGTGCTTATAACCATTGAGCTTTATTCTTACAAAATGTAAAAGATTCAAAGAAAGAAAATAATAATAATAATAATTTTAAAAAGTAATAATAATAATAATAATTAAAAAAAATAATAAATTAAAAAACAAACAATAAACAAAAAAACATCTTTTCGGGTTGAGATCAGATTTATTTCTGTAAATTTGAACGCTGGCTAAAAGTACTGTGAGGAAATTGTTGTTAACCTCTGTTTAGGGTGTCCTGAGTAAGTGACTCTGGGTGGGGAAAGTGATCGATGTAGACACTGAGAAAAGGGTGTGGGGGATGAAGCTGGATATTTATCAATAGTTGCTAAGTTTGGTGCAAGGCTATAATTGTTGAGCACTTACAAATTATTGAATTCACTCTTAGTAATCTGCGTAACTAAATGATATTCCATGGTGAGGTGTTCAATTGATATTGTCCTTTTGCTTAGCTTTGTCTTACACATGGCAACAATTATGGAATTGCAAGTGAAGGCCAATTTCACTACAGTAGTAAGGGATTGGGAGATTAATCGGTCAAGCACTATTCCACGGCAAATAAGTATATGGGTGGACACACACACACAAATATATTATTATTATACATAATGCTTAACATTTGCTATGTTTACGAAGGACGCGTGCTCAGTATCAAAAAGCATTCATAGATATAGACATTGTGGTCATAGGAATTAACACTGCTTGGTAACTGTCAGTTTCACACTTCAAGCTGATCTTCAAATTTCTTTTGAAGATTGCATTGAAGCTTAAAACTGAGTCATGATGTCTTAATTCCTATCTCATTCTGTTATATATATATATATATATATATATATATATATATATATATTATAAATTAATTGATTTAAAATATGTTTTTTTTCGCTACACAGTTCTAACCATGTTTCAAAAATGGAAGCTAAAAGCCACAAATTTAATTTTGCAATTAAATTAAAGACATTAGTTCCATTTCATCCTCAAGCGAATTTTGGAGTAACTTTTAAAATTACTGGGTTTTAAAGACACAGCTAAGATCACGTTTCCATGGTTACAGATAAATCTACTTCAATTGGACAAGGGTTGTCTGGGTTTTCCTTATGTCTGAATCATTGTATCGGTTATTAGCTACATTTTGGCAAGGGGTAGGGATGTATTTTTCAATGAAAACTGACATCCGTTGAATGCATGTTGTCTGGATTTTTTTTTAATTTATTGTTAACGGCAAAAAAATTCTTACGGCATTTTTTTCTATTCGTAAATTTAAAGATCTTCGCGGGTGTTCAGATTAGAATACTTTTTAGTTTTTATTTAACTACGATTTGAAATATTCTCATTTTTAATTTTTATTATACTATATTTTTTTTAAGAACAGTTAAATGTATTAGAATCCCTTATAGTATGTAGGATTATTTTTACATCAAGTATAAATATGTATATTAGGTTACATTTTTTTATTTTATTTTTTTTATATTATTTAAGTAGAATTTATGACAATGACGTCAAAAATAGTTACTTAATTTCACTGATTTAGTAAACTTTTATTTTTATATATATATATATATAATATATATATATATAAACCTAGTAATATATTGTTTCTCATGTAAGTACAAAGGACATGGGTCATTCAAAAGCTTACATCTTCTGGCATTTCATAGTAATATACATATACTTTGATATGGAAAAAAAATAATGTAGTGTATCTGCCTGAAATCGTTTCTGTCGCAAGTGGAGCGTGATGGTAGCCTAAATTCTAAAATCACGCTCTACAGAATCTGTCTTTATTATCAGTGCCTTTTCCAAGGGTATTAGTGCGATATTCAACGCAGCAGACTCAGAATTGGCGATGAGAGTTCAAATTCTATCTCCTACACCAATATCAATTAATCTAGACGCATATTACTTAACATTAAAATAATCAAATTGCCAGCCAAGATCAATAATTTCCAACCCTAATAAAAATGAATAATAAAATGTTACAGGTGAATCTGTAAAGGTTTATGCGTGTAAAGGTTTTCAGAAAGACACGATTATGAAAAACACTTTCACTAGAAGAGACGTATAGAGAAAAGCGCGCAAGAAAATAGAAAATAAAACGATTATTGCATTGACTAAAAAAGAAAAGAAAAAAAGAAAAGAGGTTCAGAATGCCACACACTTCCAATCCAGTTCTCTTTCAATATCATCTTCGGGTGAGATATTATAGGTCAAAGGGTAATTTTTGTGGAAAAGATGTTGATTGTTATAAATGGCCTGGAAATGAGAACTCACGGGGCGAGAGATAGTCGAGACGCTGCCCATATACTCGGAGAGTGTAGTTCGATCCCCGGAAATGTCATGATATTCGTCTCCTTTCAGATGGAAAGCGATAAGACCATAGAGGGTAGCTGGAATGGCCGAAAGAGCCATGGATGTCCAGCCCAGCATGTAGGACCAACCATACGACCTCACAGACGCATGTTTGATGTACTGAAAATGAAGAAAAGAAACATAAATATTACTGACTTTCTTGAATTATTTACATTATTCGGACTGTTATCCTCATCTACATTGCCATATTCACAACGTTTCGACCGTTGTACGCTCCGGCCTTCTTCAGGTGATTGGAATTTCGAACCGAGCCCTTTATTTTGTCCACCGGGGGTAGGTTTTTCTAGTTCCGCGTGCCATGCCTCTTTCGGATGTCTGTGTTATTTCCCTGTAACTCAATTCTCCAAGTTTTGATTCACTACTGCTGTGGCCTAGTATTGAACTCACAATTCCTTGGGTCTAGTCACTGTGTCCTTGAGGACATCTGTGTATGAATTTTTGGGACTCATAAACCTAATGTCTCAGCAACCATTTTTACCATTGAATTTTTTTACCAGAGTTTATATTGCAATTTTTTTGTTATTCAACAAAAATAAAGGGTTTGGTTCGAAATTCCAATCACTTGAGGAAGGCCGGAGCGTACAACAGCCGAAAAGTTGTGAATATGGCAATGAAGATGAGGATAACAATCCGAATAATGTAAATAATGCAAGTAATCATCACATCTCAGAGATATAGACAAATACAGAACCATCAAGTAAATAATGTAAATAATGCAAGTAATCATGATACCTCATCTCAGAGATATAGACGGATATTATAGACTTTCCTAATAGATCTGAATTAACGATTCAAAGCGTTGTTATGTAGGCGGGATTTGATGATGTGTATCTGCCGTAGAGAATTTTCCTTTTGCTTTGAATGTGCGAATAATGAATAAAGCCCTAACCTCATACATACATACATACATACATACATACGCACAACCAAGTCATGTAAGAGAAATTTTGCAAGGCGGTACGACCCCTTGGGCCCCCGAGACAGGTAAAGATTTTTCTCAAAACTGAGGATTTGATGTCCAATAAATCTAGATGTAAACCCTCAGAAATGCTTTATTCACATGATCCAATATAACATATAATCTAACAAACATATTCAATTAATACAACTGTAGTGGTCTAGTTGTTTCAGACGTCGGAGTTACCATTATCTTATTGGCTTTGTAATAAGAATGGACAATTGGAGATGTTTGTTTACAGCTGCGTGAATAACATGACCACACAATTTATATTAAACGCAAAATACCACAAAGCATGAAATACAATAAGGAACAAAATAGTTTTAAAAACATAACATTGTATTTATTTGTGTTGATGTACATGCGTAGAAGTTAAAGATCTGATGGAGTTATGTCACTTAGACTGGGAATATTTTTATCTGAACTCACAAAAGTTGAATTAATTATAAAGCTGAGAAATGCTGAATAAACTGTAGTTTTAGAAAAACGTTTCAAAGAGAAAGATTCTTGTTGCATGTTTGGAAATGTTCTGTATGTTTGTAATGTCGTTTGGAAAAGTTCGTACGTACGTGCGTGCGTGAATATGCTTTTAACGTCTGACCGCCCATAGTCGAGACGAGAATTCTGAAGATCACATCTTCTTGGGCGAATGAAGAACGGAGAGAGAAAAGAGAATGAGCTATTTATAGATAATGTAATCACGTGACAGGATCGAGATCGCTGCGCGGGAAGAATTATTCTTCACGTGCAGACGATCTTATTGGTTGGCATTGACCATTTAGAAGCTGATATTTCCTGAAAATATTTACTAAACTGAGAAGGCTCTCTGATCCACTTTTTTGCACAAAAATGTTAAAATTATATATTGATAAGGAAGTGGTAGCGGGAGGCTACACAACAACATAAATCAGTCTTTACGGTTAAATTCATCAATCACCTTTTAGGCTTTTTTGTCAGAGTGAAAGGATTTTTAAACGTACATAATACTTTCTGTCAAAAGAAAATACTTTTCTAAAAAAACAACAAATTTAACTAGAAAATATGCTTTTTTTATTTGCAAGATTTCTAATAACACTATCAAAATCAATTTGTCTGTCAATACCAGATTCAATACTTATTCGTGCTAGAGATCAATAAGTCCAATTTGAGACATAGTAGACCTAAAAGAATTTTTGATAAGTTTGGCTTTTTACTGAAATATAATCTATTTCCCTCAGGGTTCATTATCCCACGAACTCACATCACTCACTGGCTGTCAAGTGACCCTCGTGAATTCATCTTAACCAAAGGGAGATAATCAACATCTTGATCCCTACAATTTATTTTAGCTATAAGCTTTTAGCAATAGCTGTACCGTTAGAAAGGCAGAAGCCAATCCAAGAAACAGACTTGTTGATCATAAAAATTTATTTCGAAATTTTTAGACGAAGCATCTTCAATGTTGTTATTATTAATATTTTCTAGCTTCCCTTTCGAATGTAAAGGATGCGGGCTCGAGTCTAGTTGGAAGCTATTTGTTTTTGATTTCGTACCGTTTCGACTATCAGTCGAAGAGTATATCGATCCAGAGTATTGAAACAAAAAGCATCAGTAATAAGATTGTGTAAAGGACATCATAAAAGAACAAAGAGTGAATTGACTCGGACTGTTGGGGTAAAAAGATGGAATAAAACTATTAATAAAACAATAGTAATAATAAAGAGTGTATGGACCTAGAGTTTTAGGGTAAAAACTAATAAGATGGAATGAAATTAGTAATATAATAATAATAAGGTTTTTTTTTCACAAAACCTGGTCTTCAAAATAAAGGTGCATCATATATTCTGAAGTATGTAGTACTTACCAGAGGCCAGTATTTTCGAAAGAGTCGTTCATCGGGATCTTTAATTGTATTTGTCTCAATGAATTCAACTGCATGGAACACGGCCATTCCAAGAGAAATCAGGAAACCTAGAACACAAAAGAAAATAGAATAAAATGCAATAAATAAAAGCATGATGATTAATTGGAAGAAGATATTACAAGAGTTACAAGAATATATCAGTTTGACTCGCAGAAGATTGGAATGAATTCGATCTTTTGTAGGGGCCCAAGAATTATAGCCTTGGGTCAAACTTAGTAACTATCGATAAATATCTATCTTATCTCTTATCCCTCTTTCCTTTCGGCGTCCTCACCCCAACTCCGTCTACGTTAAAAGGGTTCAGCTTCTTTTATGGATTTAGGGCGGCTCCAGAGACCCGGTTTTGGGCGCGAAATCTTCTTATTGGGTGAAATATTTTATTTATTTATTTAAATATTTATAATCGGAACATATGCACGATCATCCTGCGTAGAAATATAATTTTCTTCACTTGTATTCCATCCACTTCCACTTTCACGTCCTGCTTACGACAAAGTCGATATCAATTATGAGGATTAGACATAGTAAAAAAAAAAAAATCTTTGAGGACTTTAAACAACAGATATGCAAAAATACGAAAAATCATGAAAACGTAAACTTACCCGTGATGACCATAAAGAAACTGGCAGTGATGGCTAATCGATAACTGTTGCAATTCCACATTAAGATGCCCAGGACGAAACCAACAAAGCAGGAAATCAAAGCCATCGCCATTGAAGCCAGATGCGTTCGTTTGAGTTCTATATTTGAGAAATGACAAGAATATTAACGCAGATAACTAAAAGAACAATTCACACATTTTATTATTTCATATAAAATTTGACATACGCCATGTTTGCCTGATATCTGACTGGTAGCTACTGTAAATTCCACATTAGTATACCCATCGTCCTAGTTGGACTATAAACCATAATAAAATGTAACACTTAGTAAGATGTTGGTGCACAAACAATTTAATGATTGGTTTAACAGAGGAAATATTTAGTATGTAGACATCAGCGGGTATTAACTCACCCGTGTAGTATTACCACCACCTGGTTTGCCAAGACGTTATTAGGTGGCGCTGTTAAACAGATATATAAAAAAAGGACACTTCCTGTTTTTCCCGCTTTTCCCCCCGCTTTTCTTTCTACAATGTGGTAGAAGTGATAGCACGGGACTTATTGTCGGCTTCGGGATTTCTTTCTTTCCACGGGTGACTGAACTCTTTCACACACAGACATGCAATTCCTGATAGCTAGATTTTAATGCCGTCTTTCTTTTAAGCTGTTTTTGCATGCATACAAGTATATTTTATTTGCCGTTAATTGTTCTTATATTAGCCATGAAACACAGCAATAATTCTCTACCTTGTTGAAAGCTATTCCATTTCTTTTCATTTCTTAAAGTAATGACAAACACTTCGTTTACATGTGTAAATTTTGTTTGACACCGTCTTTAGTTCAATTAGACTCACTATACTCAACACACTGTATAGTGTAGAGATTGGCGCACCGCTTAGGGAATTGATAAATATTATATTTGAATCATATTCTGTATCAGTATTTACTAACAGGCATCTATATTTGTTTTTGTTTTTTTTTTCATCTAGAACTGTCGACTCACTCATTTTCTGTAATTTCTATTTTGAAGTGACACGGAAGAAAACATTGTTTGATACATCTATGAGAGCGTTACTATTTACTTACAGTATTGTCGTGTAACTGCTACTATAAAATTTTATTTTGTGGTAAAAAAATGTTAAATTTTTATGGCCTTTTAGGCTCAAGCGGCGAAACGCCAAGATTTTGTGAATCTACTTTTTTTTTTAATATTCTTAAGGGGATTTTACATATATTGGCCGATAGGAATCAAGTTTTTCTAGCACCTAAAAATTTGGGCTGGAGCCGAATTTTTATGACCCCATTTAAAATAAAAGAAGACTGCTATCAGCAGTTGGGAAGAAGGAAGAGATTTGAAAAGTAAACGGCAGAGCGTCAACTTCGGCCGGGGCAGTTTTCACAAGATATCACGTAAAAGGACAGTCTAAGTGAGAGGTTATAAATCTGACGTAACAGATCGAAAGCAGATTCGTACGACATATTCCACACCCCCAGAACCTACAAGAATTTGCCTACGTCAAATCCGTTTCGAGCTGAGAGGTCCTTTACAGCAGAGGTTGATGTCTTTTAAAAGATTGTATCTTCTGCCATATTGTGAATCCTTTTACTCCGAGTTTTCCCTTATTTGTGTATTTTGGAATGGATATATTTTGTATACGAATCCGTTGGTCTTTTACTGTCATACGGAAATTGTCTCATGACGACGGTTTATCCGACGCAGATTATTGGGGGGGGGGCTTAACTCGAAAGTGAATTTGGAATAGGACGCCCTTAAATTTGAATTGTTTTTAGGCGGCGGTCGTAAACAATTTTCTTGTGTTCAATAAAGCAAACAGATTCAAAACATTTCTATTGTCACGAATTTTTTTTTTTAAATCATTTCACCCGAAGCAAGAAGATAAAGCCACTAGGACGCAAGGGGGTTATTGAGTGTCAGAGAATAGGAAAAAAAAAACTACTACTAAGGAGAGAGTGGACAATAAAAGAACAAGAATTAAGAAGACAAAAGACAACGATTGACATTGCATTTAAAATCTTGAAGATCAAAGTTGGCGGGAAAACAAGAAACCGGAAGAGAGTTCCAAAAGTGGAAAGAGCGATAGAAGAAACTGTTAGCATAGAACTTACGGTTATATCTTGCAGTCATTTCAACTATAAAATGTTGTAAATGTAACAGGCAGTTTTAAAAACAGTTGGCCATTTTTGTGGATAACATATTTATAATACGTTAATTGTGAAATATTTAGTCATGTTTTCATTTTTTTTTTTTGGCAGATGATCATTTGAAGGGAGTATATAGATTTTGAAACGATTTAGGAAGGTATATAGATTTTAAAACAATTTAGTGAGATATGTCATACTTACGTAGCCGCTGCCAATATTGGAAACTGAACGCGCGGTCTTTCTTGTGTTCAGGAACATGGTAAGTAACTTGAAAACATCGATTTCGACTTCCTGGAGCCTTTTCCAAAACTAAAAAGAAAAAACAAAACATAAATAGTTATGAATAGTCTAGAGACTTTTTTTTATGTTTTCTTGGTGTAGTTTGGTTCAAGGCTTCAACTGTGGAGCGTTTAGTGAGAAGGAGATGAGTATGCAATATTCAACAGCTTGTATTGTCTTCAGAAAGTACACGTCAAAGTAAAATATTTGCTCAGTGGAAGCAAAACACCTAGTTGAGTCATGTGATTTATATAAACATGTGAATATATGGCTTTCGCCATAAAGACTGATAAAGAGTGACTAGTTAACAAAGGCAGCGAAAACGAGATAGAAGGAGCAGGTTTAGTCAGATTTCACTTCTAACTTAATGTCAGATGAATTAAAAAGATAAAAAAAAATCTTCATTTTATTTGATTTAATCTCTCATTCTACTCTTAAAATCAACTATAACGAAATAAGGTGGCGTTTGGACGGCGTTTCGTTGTCTTTTTTTTATACTTCTTCAGGACGGTTTCGTGGTGATTTCCGGAACCGATCGTTTATTGTCGATATAATTCGTGGGATTTATGGATACTTATGTGAGAAACGAGAGAGATAAAAATGAAATGACAAATAATCTTGTACATATAGCATTTTATTGCCTTAACAAAACTGAGTAAGAAGGAAATGAAAGTTGAATTTTTAATCATTTCACCCCAAGCAAGGCGGCAATGCCACTAACACGCAGAGGGTTATAAGGAATGAAAGTGAAAGAGAAGACTGAGAATAGGGAGGATTGTGGGAAGGACAAAAGATGAATGGGATTTAACAAGACAGAAGATGACCATTGACACTGCATTTAAATTTTTGAAGATTTTAATTATCAGGGAAGCAAGTAAACGGAAGAGAGTTCCACAGATGGGAAGTGCGAGAAAAGAAACTTGGAGCTGGTTACATTTAGCTATTTCAACAGTAAAAGGGTTGGATCTAGATGCCAATCTGGTAGCATGCTTAAATTGGTGTAGTCGGGAACAAGGGGGAAAAAAAAGCTCGTCAAAGCAGTTGCCATGAAAATATTGGTAAAAAAGGCAAAGGGAAGCCACGTTTGTAAGAAAGTGATTGAAGTCGAGATGCCTGGTCAAGATCGATAACATTCCAGTTCCTTCTTTGGATTTTGTCAAGAATCTCTTGATATACAACAGGATCACCAGACCAGATTTTGCAGCAGTATTCAATGCATGGACGAATAGTGGAAATGTAAATGTGCAAGATGGATTCTGCTGTGAAAAAATTCTGGCACGACACAGTGACCGAACTTTCCTCGCAGTTGATGCAGTTATTTATTTAATATAGTCGGCCCACATTTTTTTTAATCATGTATAATAATTTTCCCTTATTTAAAGTCAAAAACTACTGTTATCAATTATAACAAATTTTTATGTAGGAATCTCACAAAACATATAACTTGTTTAGTATTTTATTAAATTACCACTCCACCTCATTTTTTCTTAGGAAATGGCGTTGTCTAGTGTGTATAATTTATGTAGCTATTAATATCTGCTTCTATTTAATGTCTGTGCTGCTGTTAGCTGCCAGTCTACGGTTCATGAGTCATTTATAAAAGATAATTTTTTAATTTTTGCTTTTTCGCTTAGTTTAAATTTAACGTTGGTCATATTTGATTGGTTGATCAGAGTAAAGCCCTCAAACCTTATAACCCCCCCTTTTTTTTCGTAAAAAGAGATTGTATTTTGTGTTTAAATCTAAATAAATCGTTCACTCGCCAGTAATTTACCATCCCCTAATGAGATGCATTGATACGCATAGAAACACGACTGCAATTATATAGCGATTTTGACGTGTTTTCAGTGTAAGATCCTAAAATAAATAATATCTATCTATTCTGAAAGCAATTTTGAAAACAGTCTGTTCTTGCATCATGAAACAACGCCATTTATTTTGATTTTCCGCCGTGAGTATCCAACGAGTATGACAATCAGAATAGGTTAATTCATTTTCGACATAATTGTTGGTTGTGTAATGGCGGACATTCGATGTATCTCCGTTACGAATTACAACAGATGTCCGGTTGCAGATTAGTAGTGGGCGTAGATTTAAGACAGGCTGCACATTTCTGTCATTCCTCAATTATAAACTGTTGAGTTGATACGAAACAAACTAAAATGATTATTATATAGCCATACTAAAGACCAAATGAAACACAACATAATATTAACCAACCAAAGCTTTAAAAATACGAAGACATACAATTTTAACTGCAGACATTAAGAAAAACTCTTTAGTAAAATAAAGCATTGCTTTCTGGGGTCAGATCGGTAACTTAGAACAACGTTTATGCCTTTTTATATTCGCTTCAGCTAAGTGTGAAAAATAAAATAAAAACTGGATTTCTAACTTCTAATGTTTCTTCAGAACATGGACGATTATAGCCCTCCACAACGTTCTATCCCTCGTGGGCCTTAGCAGCGTTTCTCACTTTACCAAGTTTCCTGCTCTTCGTTCCTTCATCCAGTCACAAAAAATCATCAAGTAGGTGGCTCGTAGACTTCCCTTATCTCACTTGGCCTCCATATCTCCCGTGATGCTTAAGTTTTCCAAGTCTTGCTTTCTCGTTATGTGTCCAAGGAATTTTGGCTGTCTCTTCCTGATTCTGAGTTCTTCTTCTTCTTCTTCTTCTTCTTCTTCTTATTATTATTATTATTATTATCTTTCATTTGTTTCTAACGAAATTTTCCTGTTTCCTGTTACTTTGTTTAGCTTTTGGAAGGCATCTTTTGCTAATCCGTGCATTTGGATTTCGGTGACATATTTTTCCACCCTACGTTAAGACACATCTTGGATATTTCAACACCTACACTTGTTTGATGCTAATATTCGTAGTTTCTATCTTGGTCTTTTTCTCTTTCTGAATCATATTTTGTCTTCTCACAATTGATGGATACTCCTTTTTTTAAAGTATCTGTCTATATTTCTCAGATTAGGTATTATGTACACTATTTTGCATTATTCGGACTATTGTCCTCATCTTTGTCGACATATTTATTACAACGTTTCGGCCGTTGTATGCTCCGGCCTTCTTCAGGTGGTTGGAATGTCAAACTGAACCCTTTATTTCACTCACTGGGGTAGACTGTTCTAGTTCCACGTGCCATGTTTAATGGTTGTCAGTTATCAGTTATCTCCTGTTAATTTTCCCTCTGATAGTTCTTCACTGCCTTAACCGGGTATTGAACTCACATTCTTTGTCACTGGATCTAACTAACGCCTTTATCCACTGTGCGTTAGTTAGATCCAGTGAGAGGACCCAAAGAGTGCGAGTTCAATACCTGGTTAAGGCGGTGGAGAACCTGGTGTGGTCTTCTGCTGCTGTAGCCAATTTACTTCCAAATTCGACATGTTATCCGTTTAGTGATGCTCCGTTGTAAAGAGTGGCACAGTGGATAAAGGCATTAGTTAGATCCAGTGGCAGGACACAAAGAGTGTGAGTTCAATACCCGGTTAGACAGTGGAGAACTTTCAGAGGGGAATTAACAGGAGATAACTGATAACTTAGAATTAAAACATGGCACGTGGATCTAGAACAGTCTACCACAGTGAGCGAAATAAAGTGTTCAGTTCGACATTCCAACCCCCTGAAGAAGGCCGGAGTGTACAACGGCCGAAACGTTGTAATAAATATGGCGACAAAGATGAGGATAATAGTCCGAATAATGTAAATAATGTACATAATACCTTATCTAGAAATATAGACAGATACTGAAAGGCCGAAACGTTGTAATAAATATGGCGACAAAGATGAGGACAATAGTCCGAATAATGTAAATAGTGTACATAATACCTCATCTCAGAAATATAGACAGATACCAAACAAAACCAGTAGACAGTAGAAGGAAATTTGATAAACGTATCTGCTGAATCGCAGTGTTGAAAATAACACGGATAAAGATACGCATGGATAAAATGGAAAAGAAAGTCATCTAGAACGACAGATTTTTTTTATCTTGTTATAAAAATGAAGAGAAAAGGCGGTGCTTGTGCACTCAACGCACCTTCAATATTGATACAGTACCAACTAGATACCAACTTACATCTTCGTTATGCATTGACTTTTATTTTGTTGACCATATCCGGCAATGAATTTTTTCCCACGTAAAAACAGTGGCTTTATTTTTAATTTCTCATGCTTGTGGGGGCGTCACTAAAAAGACTTCTTCATAACCGTGTTTCTCATGTTTGAACCTGTTACCTGTTGATCTACTACAAAAATCTACATCTCTTATCGACCATCAATCATACCGGAAGTTGTTTGTCGGACATGTTTACTTCGGCTTTTATTGACATTGATTCTATAGCTCACAGCTTTAACACCGGTTTGGGCGTAAGAGAATTTCTCACTTAACATAATTCTGGAGGCGAGGAGAACGTTTAGAATTTTTCCCAGGTTAATTTATAAATTAATTTTCAGACCCGATTTTTCACACGGGTGGAGTCACCATATTAAGTATTCTCATGGACTTTTTACAGACAGTGGTTTGATTTTTGAAGATAACGTTTCGTTATTCCTTCGTATGGCTGTCCAGACGGATATAAAATTACAGATAACTGACAACATTAGATAATTAAACGGTTCAAACCAATTAAGGGACAGACTATCAGAAATACTGAAAAGTTGCGTCCGTCTAAGAGGGAATAATTTGGTTACAGCGTAACGAGGCCTCCACCATATTATAATTGTACGTCTTCCCTCTTTCTGACACCCACTACACCCTGTTATTACCTCAAATAAATAATGGACCATTCCGTTTTCATTGGGAGGAAAGACGGAAGAGAAAGGTATATCAGAAAATGCTGCCTGGTTTAAGTGAGAAAAAAAAATAATAATAGTAGTCAATATTCAGAAAGTCAATTTAGAAAGGCATGAATCCATTTTTTCTCCTCCTCCAACTATGGGTATGTAGCAAGAAAAACTGCGTTTTAGCCTTGATTGACGGCCAGTCTAGAAGAAGGACAAGTGATCTGTACTATTGGCA